AATTATATTTACTAAGTAATTAATAATTAGTTTATAAGTTATTTCTAACTTATTAATAATTAGTTATATATTATTATAGCCTCTAGGCCTTTATAGTTATTAGAAAATTATTAATACTAATCTATAGCTTTTAATTATTATTATAATATTAATATATTAAAAATAGATTAATAAATCTCTAATTAGTAATCTCAGACACGCTGCTACTGCCTCCGGAATGGTGGCAACCCCAAACAGGCAACGCGCGCCACGCCGCTTTGCCCACCCACCCCTGCTCGAGGCCCTGCCCCGCCGCGTCATGCCCGCCGAAATATAAATACTTTGGCCTCCTCCGTCCGCTGCATCAGGTACTCTCGACTTCTTCTCTCCTCAACCCGCCGCCGCAATACGCTTTCTCTCCGTGCCCGAGTCCCCTGCAGCGCAGCCCCTTTTCACCATCCCCGTTGGCCTGTGTCCGCCCGAGGGATCTTACGCAGTCCAGGCGGGCTGTCTTTGTCCCGTGTCTTTGCTTGATGCTAACGGCTCTGCTGCCGCTTCTCGCCCAATTGCAATGTCAAGGTCGCCCGTGCTCTCGGCAGTACAGGCTGCCTAGCCTGTACGTTTATTCTACCCTCAAAACCCAACTTCTGTCTTGTACCGATCGTTGACTTGTTCTAGCTCGCAGGCATCTCCCGTTTCCTCGGTGCTGCGTTATGGATGATCATCCGCGACATTCCCTTGACTAGTCCCCAAAATGCCTCACGATACATGACAACAAGACTGCTTTGCCGAAATTGCATCGGCTGTCACGGACCCCGTGGGCTGAGTTTCTGGAGCCCATCAGAGTTGACACGTCACCGGAGTGGGCACGAGGAAGGTCTCGACCGCTCGATATTTCGGATGTACTTCTTGAAAAGGGCATACGTGCGTTGTGCCTTCCCTGCTATTTTCGGAAAATCACGGCGTTGCCGAGCTTGGCGCATTGCTTTGAATCATTCTGCGGAACACGCAATCGCGGTCTCAAGAATCACTGGCTATGACCAGCATTTCCAGTTGCTGTATGCAGTCAGACGGGCCGATTCGACAGCGCCGAAAAGTGATGTGTCACCGACTTTCTGAGGTATAACTTCCAGCATATAGGCAGGTCGTGCAGATACGAAAGCACAAAGCACGGTTCGTGTGACTCGGCAAGTACATGATTGGTGCGGAGCTGGACCTGCGACCAGGCTATGCTGAGCTTGCTACGTTCATTTTGCTGCGAAGGGGTCGACGCCGCTGCCTTGCATGGGAGGCATTCTTGCGACCTTGGGAGCTGTCGACGCTGGGACGGCTAGCGAGGTCCAAACAAAGAGTATTGGCATTTTGTCTACTTAAAGGCCTCGTAAGCCCGAGAGGTTTGGCACAGCCCAAGTTGAAGTCAGCTCTTCCTAGTAAGTCCAGGTTTGTTGTTCACAGGTGAGCACTGCGACAGCACAATGACGGCCATTTCCACCCACGATCAGCACGTCTCTTCTACTGCCACAGCGGCGAGGCAAGAGCGCGATATCGCACCTGCGACATGCTCTAAACTTGTAGAGCACGAAGACAGACCACCTGCACTAGCTCTGACGTCTCGGCATCCGTCCCAATCTCCTGCATATGAAGCCACAGGCGAGGGCCCAAATGAGGCAATTCTTATTTCCACTGATTCGGAATCGGAGTCCATGTCGGAGTCAGACGGCGAAACGGACGACGACGTTCCGTCTCTCAAGACAATGAATGGACGTATCGATAAGGAGACTACAACACAGCCTAATACTTCGTCGGGTGAGTTAGCCTCTAAGCCTTGATCAACCGTCAAGCAGAGGAAGCGAAGCGAATGTCAAAGCTAATCATCGTGCTAGCATCAACAGCAACTGTGCCTAATACGCCGCGAGACGTTTCACTAAGTCCTGAAGGGGATGACGACTTGGATGGGGCTGTACAATGCTCACGTTCTGCTTTTCCCAACACCTCGCCCCCCCCAAGGCAGGCGTTCAGGGATGGGTCAGACTCCAGTCGGCGCTCATCAAGTATACCCGCTGAGGTAGCTGAGCAAGGTTATGGGCAGGCTGAGGACGCAGACGAGTCACTCTCAAGCCATCGTGACAATCGTGAACCGAGCTGCCGTGCCGAACTGCCGCGGCAGACTCAGCCACATGAGGGCGCCATTCACAACGATTCAGCGTCTATCGATGGCGACGGCAACATCGCTGATCATGGCGACAGTGACAGCTCCTCCCGCGATGGCGACAGCGACAGCAGCAGCGACAGCGACGGCGGTAATGACGGCGATGACGATGACTACAATGATGACGGAAGTCCCAGCGATACCGATGGCGAGGATGACGGCCACAGCAAAAAGCGCAGCGCGAACCAGTCGCCTTCAGTGACTAGTTCCGAAGATGGCCATGCTGACAGCCTTTCCGATGACAACATGGCGGTGAAGACTCTTAGACCGCATAAACGCCAGAAGGTCGCCCATGAAGGAGCAGGCATGACGCCTGTTCGCAGCCCGAACCATATGCCTCGCTCTGGAGGACCTCCGCTGCTATCGCCTAGACGGGCTCAGACAGCCGGCATGCTTAGCCCACCAGCCTCTCACAGCCTGTCCGAATCTGAGAGCGAGAATGGCTCAGATTGCAGTAAGGCGTCGTCAGCATCCTTCGGTGAATGGCAGTTGCAAAACGCTGCATTAAAATGCGTGACGATCGACGGAATCACTACGTTTCAATTGCAGTTCCAACGAGTGCAGCCGCATTCTTGCAGCAGCCGGCGACAGCGGCGACCGCACAAACTGGTCAAGAGCAAGGCCAGAGGTCGAAAATCGAGGGATGAGACGAAAGGTCGTCGATGTGGTGTGTGCAGCCAGCCTGGTCATAATGCACGAACCTGTCAGGCATGTGCGAATATCTAGTGAGGACGGCAGCTGTGAGTGTTAACTAGCTGTATCTATATAGCACTCCTGCGGCGGACGTAAGGACTATAGGAGCTCGTGGAATACCAGCAAGAGTAACAGCGCATGACAAACAGGACACGGAGGATGTTTCTCCTCATTTTTAGTACGGCGGGTAAAAACACGGTTAAACAGCTAGCATTTCTAAATATTAATACGAAATAGCTACTAAAAGGTCAAGAGCTTAGTTTTACTTCGAAGATTCCGTTATCTATAGCCGTTGCGTTTAAGAAATGGGTTAGCTATAGACAGTTTCTAACAAAATCGCGTAATCTAAGCATCCATCTAAATAAATGCGATTGCTCACTCCTGCCAACCATGTCCCCCTATCGTTACAATACGCCAGGCAGCTGACCCGGCGGCCCGATCTTAGGAGGAGCCCGAAGCTCAGTATATGACGAAACCACGGGTGGAGACGACCGGCCTGTAAAATACGTGTCCTTCTATCCTATTTAACATACGCTACATGCTTGCATGCTTCCAGCTGAACGAGGTGGCTGGGTACACTTCTAGGCGTACTAAAATAGTAGTTGAAATATACTTGCGCCTCGTGCTGTGACAATCTGACTATCTATATCATCGCCGTATACGTCTGGCTATTCTCCACAAGCTCCATACCAAGCGTTGCACTGAAACAATCTACGTCCAGCTCTTCTTCCATCGTGTTCATCGTAGAAGTGTGGCGCCTCAGAGGAATGAAACCTTCCCCCTCTTTTTCAACCCAGGAGATGACATTTTCCACTGCGTCTCGAGGCGAATGCCTGTGCGCAATCAGAAAAGATATGATCTTGGCCGGGCTATATTTCATCTCAGGGACACGATCAGCAAACTTCACAGCTAGTTCCTGGATATCCTGAGCGTCTTGGCTTTTGACGACCCCTTCGTCCGTATCTCCTGCTCTTTCGGCCTTGCTGGACAACGGTATATAGATGTATCGGAACAGTTCCAGCAGCATCTCTCGACTTGCTAGCCCAAACTCAACCATTTTGTCCACACGCCCTGGTCGAATCACAGCCGGGTCGATGCGGTTGACATGATTAGTTGTCATGATCAAAACTCGTCCCTCCACGGAACCTACTCCATCAATTGCGTTGAGAAGACCAGAGAGTGTGACGCTGCTGCTTGTGCTCGACCCAGCATTGATGTTTTCACGACTCATTGCGCTTTCGATTGCATCGATGTCCTCTAGAAGGAGGATGCATCGTGTTGGCAGTTTGCTCATTAATTTGTTGAGCGTTGCATCGTTGACTTTGGACAGGTTCATGGCATAGATGTCTAGGCCGAACTGTCCAGCAGCCGCCAAGCTGAGACTTGTTTTGCCAGTTCCGGGCTCGCCATAAAGCAAGTAACCGCGGCGGTAGAGCAGGTCATGCTCGACATACCAAGCTACGGCCTCTGGGTCAAGGAACTCCGCAATGTCGTCGAAGAAGTCATTCTTCACGTCTTCGGGAAGGATGACAGTATTCGTCCGCTTTCGACCCCGCCGCAGGGCGAGTTCCCAACGGCCGTCGCCGTTCATGTATATTGCTGTCTTGCTTTCCGTTTGTTTCTCGAGCGTGATCTGGCAATTGCGAAGAAATTCTTTCAGAATTCCGGACGATGTACCCATGCAAGAGAGGAAGAACCGTTCACCCTGCAAAAACCCTTCTTCTGGCATAGAGCTCAAATAAAGAAGTTTGCCTTTGTACCAAAAAGACTTGCGTAGATTCTTTGGGCTATACTTCAACGTGTCCTTCGTCGTTCCGTTTGCCGGCTCGGCACTTTTTTCGAGAGTCACAATGGTGGATTGAGTCTCTGTGGCGAACGGCTGAGATTGTATCCAATTTCTCAGTATGTCGTAGGAATTACTAGTATAGGGGACCTCGAAAGTAAATGCTGAGAACGGTTAGGGTTTGAGTAGCTCAAAGAGCTGGAAATGATTGACGAACTGAAGTATTTTTCCACGATCCTAGCAACACGGCCATGGGCAAACCTCAGCAAGAAAGTGACCAGGCCATACATGCAGAGTAGCCGGGCGCCGAGATGGGATTTCCCGGACGTGAGGGGATGGATGTAGCTCAATGCAACGCCCAGTCCAGGGAAAAGAGTGTCCAGAAAGGATACCTGCGAGTAAAGAGCACCAACTGTAGTGGATGCCATGATGTATCTGAATTTGTATTATGGTCAAGTAGAATTCAACGCCATGAATATGTGAGCTTGCTGATAGAAGAAGGGAAGATAGACAAAATATTTCGGGGAGCCTTGAGGAGGTCTATATAGACAGCGAAGCGGTTAACTGGTTCGCCCACGACGCAACCCAGTTACACTTCTTACATTCTGCCTTCATTTAGCGGCCATGGATCAAGAGACTTGCATGCAGGAGCTGACATTGCTACGAGTCTATCAAGACATTCCTGCAGGCCATATCACATATCGTGCGAGCTTGAGCTGACCCCGCGATGTTATCGGCTGGAGTAGGTTCTCTTTACCTGTATGCATTGTATGTATGCATTGTGTGCCTCGGGTACCCCTTGATGTACCTTGTGTATCCTATGATGTACCTTGTAGACTATCTAGCCTGCGTGCTCTGTGTGCTCTGTGTGCTCTGTGTGCCCTGTGTGCCCTGTGTGCTCTGTGTGCCCTGTGTGCCCTGTGGGCCCTTTCTGTCCCTCCGCTATGTGCACCATGTCTCGGCTTGTGTCCTGTTTTCATGGCAGGATCAATGTGGCCGGATGTGCTGCGCTGGAATCCATGTGAATTTTGTTAAATTGCTAATACAATTTTTTACATCCTGCCAATAAATTGTTGAATGCTTATTTTCCTGCGAGGGCATATTTGGCTCGAGCATACTACGATTGGCGCAAATTTAGTGGTTGGGCAAGCAGGTCCACCATAGATGCCCCTCATTAGGGACCAAAAGTCCATCATGGCATCCCCGAAGTTTGGCAAGCACAGACAGTCGTAAACTGCGCAACTATGTCTTCATTGCGTTCAGATTCAGCGCCTGAAGCTAAGGCTTCTATCGAGCGCGCCGGGTTTTACCTTGTCAAGGACACCGATGAGGAAACCGATGCTGAGAAAGTCACAGGAAAGGGGAAACGTTTCGCTCAATTCTACAACGCCGGATACTATACCAAGACACCACAAGGATTAGACTTTGTCTTTCGAAATATATGGGGGGACACAGTACGTTTCAACGGGAGCCTTCCGTGCTGCTATCTAACACTATAGGAAATACGTTCAATCGTGCTATCCATCATTGCACAGCCTCGCTGGGGCTATCTCCGATATTTCAGCACTCGACTGTCCTCCGAATACGCTTGGTTCTTTCATAATAGGGACGAGCGCGATGATGGCGAAGTGATCCATACGCTTCTGGTGCAGTTTTGGATGCCCGGATCTAGAGTGGTATACTACGAGGGCTCGCAATTGCAATTCTTTGACGCCAAGGAGGATCCCGACAATTGGGGGGTCTTGAAAACACCCCTAAATAACGTGAAGAGAGAAGGTATTATAACAAGGATTGAAGATATGCCAAATGGTGGATAGTAGGTCTGCGAATCCCGAACGATATGTCCATTGACTGACTACGGCAAGTACTGTTATCGACAGTCGATTAGGTTGGACTTGCGAGGCCGGAGGTTTCATGAATATTGCGTTGGGTAGTGACGAGGAAGTAGCTGAGTGGGGTTGGATGGAACTACCAGACACGCAACCTCTTCGCTCGAAGGTTGCTGAATTGGAAAGTCAAGGATTCCGAACGCATTTCATTTTTGAGAAGCTCAATATGTCAGGGGCAGAGAACAACTAGTGATGGGAATAAAGAAATGGTGCATGTCTTAATGGCAGGGCCTAGGGAATAAAGAGCATGCCTGTAGTTTGGTTTTGTGTGACAGAACTCCATTATGAAAGACGCCACGATCCTGAATTCTCGGTGGCAATGCTCTGTGCCGTGGCATGCGAGCTATCAGTATATATAAACGATCCATCCATCGTATTTCTCGTAAAGCTCGAGCCTCTTTTTGCCAAGGTAGTGTTTTGTGATATTGGATATTGGCCATCTGGATACATAAATGATCCATCCATTGTATAGCTCAAAAAACTGGAACCTCTTATCGCATGTGAGGTGCTCCTCGCTGCTGAGGGCTGATCGTTCGCGAAGATTGTACTTGGAGCGTTGGTGGCCGAAATCGGGTTACCTATTGCGGGATACTGCTTGTCATGGTACATGGTTGGTTCGTTCGTTGATTCGTTCAAACCGCTCGGGTCTATGGCAGCCGCGTGCATGTCCGGCACTGTCGAGCACTGGTCGTTTTCAAGATATACAAGCATCTCATCGATTTTCTCGCTTGTGACTTCCAAATCTCCCATGCCTGTCGTAACGTTCTGCGCCCTTCCCTGATTGTCTCCAGAGTATGATGAGGGAATGGCGTTCATGGTAGTCCTTGGTACCTGTGATTGCTGTTCGTTGTCGTCGGTGCATCCGCTTTGTTGTTGATCAAATGCCCGGCTTGCGGAAAATGAATAGCCTGGATATGTCTCCGATTTCGACTTCTTGCGCGGTCTCAAAATATTCGACTTTGTCTGGCGAAGGCGTTTGCAGCTTTGAAGTGCTGCTCGAGCTGCGTGCGAAGCCATTTTTGATTCGATGTCTATCTGGTTCTTCATCTGCTCTATTGCTTCCGTATGTCCAGACATTGTTCGCTTGTCTTTTATCCCTGCACAGTCGGTGAAATGTCTTTTGAGTGTAGACACGCGAACGAGTGTTGTGTGACAGCCTGCGCAAGGAACTGCACATGTAACGTCTAGAATTTCGTGTTAGCTGATTATGAACGGTTGAAAATAGGTAGACAGTTTACGAGTCTTGTAGTGTCGACTGTATTTCTTGAAGGTTGCATCTGCTTTGCGTTGCCGACATTCGAACTCAGGACAGAAGTATGCATTCTTTTGCTCAGGACCAAAATCCGTACCAATATCATCGCTATCCGCATCGTCATTCTCGTGCTCGCCCTCGTCTCCATCGGTGTCAATTTTGTTTTCCGCAGACGATTCGTTTAATTCTTGTAGCAGTTTCTGGATTGTATGGAAATATCGGGCCTAAAATGGTCAAGATCATATAGAAACACGTATATCGAGCTGGCTCTTACTGTACAAGCATTGATTTCTTCTATTCGGCGATTCGTTCTGGTACGCAAGATTGTTCAGCAAGCAGACTTCTACCCTATCCAGAATACTTACTGTATCAGCCAGCGATTAGTTTTCGAACAAGAAGCGCATTTCTCCATTAGTAACATGGCGTATTGAGGTGGATGTAAAGTTGAAGCCAGAGGGGTAGGCGTGTGACACGTGTTACTTTTAGCTTGGAAAGCGCCACCCATTCAGCGTAGGCCTATTTCGGACTGAGTATATATTTGTTGCTTTCTGCCTAACGACCTATCGATCTTCCTCCGCTCCAAAAACCCTGCCAGTTGCCTAATTTTCTTCCGAGGCACAGGTCAGTGACAGTTTCTGACGATTTTAATACCTGATCCTAATTTACATAGCGTTCCCAAGAGCTTTCTCAAAAGCGAGCCCGCGCAAACGCCAAAGATGTGCAAGGATTGCAAAGTATGTGGTGGCAACCCAGGTGCAACCAGATGTGGTGGCTGCGGATGTTCAAAGTAGTAGAGTTATTGCTCAACAGAGGGCAGGATTGTACAATACCAAGCCAATCACTTTCGGAGTGATCTCATTATGAAGCAATCATTTTTGAACCGTCCTTCGCATATGGGCTGACTCTAAAATAAAGCGACCACCGATTTCTAGAACTTTTTTCGTCGGAAATGCAGTAGCATGTTCGCAATCCGAAGTTCTTGCCACTGCGATCTAGGGGCCCTTCCATGGAGCAGCTCAAGACTCTCGTATTCGTCACTCTTTTCTAGGGCCATTTTTGCGTCCGATGAGAGACGTGAAGGCCTCGGCTGGGCTAAGTTTCATTTCGAGCAGATACTGAGCGAAATCGCGACCTGCTTGCTCCCCCAATAGTGCCGTTGCCTTGCTCTCCTAGTCACGAGCATAACACCGCCACCGCGCCATCATTGTACTTACTCTATACCGCTGCAGACCGTAAGTCAAATCAGGAGACAATAAGCCGAGCGGCCTGCTCTAGGTGGGGCGAGGGTTTGCCGCAGGTCAGGCAGATCTGACCTCTGCGCCAAGGTTGTTGAATCCCCTTTCTGTGCTTTAAGGCTTCGCAGAGTAACTCGCCCCACATCTTAAATGTACGAGTGAATACAGAGTATCCCTCTGTATTTGTGGAAACACCCGGTACATAGAGTTTCGGTGTTTGATTCCTCGTTGGCGAAAGTACTACCTGTTAGTAGGTGTGCGCAATCGCTACAATCCCACGCTCGGTTGCAATCAGCAAACGAGGGTTGTAGTTTGACGCGGTAGGCTTCCGTGGCGCCAAGCCCCTTACTAAACTTTTGCGTCCGTCATTCACCTTTCTAAAATATAATTCGTCCCGGCGGATATAGCCAATACATTTAAGGGATATTGAAGCCTCAAGTACAGCGGTCGCTACATTCACCGAAGGCAGCCCCGCTACAGGCACGAGCCTACTTATGAGTCAGCCACTGACGTGCAAGCTGGGCTGGCAGTGCTACCTGACGAGGTATCCGCAACCGTGGCGGCCAGGAAAGGCATGCGCACTACCCCGTCGGCTAGTTTTCTCGCGGAGATCAAGAGACTAACTAGTATTGCCAATGTCTGGGCGAAGTCCCTTCATGGAAGGTCACGACAACCTCAGTATCACAATAGCGGGGATATGTATCAAAGTGGGCTTATTACGTGACTGCATCAGTTTCCTGACATCGATGAGATTGGTCAAGTTGCATGGACGCCGCACAGCACAAAATTGGCTCGCTTTATCATGTCCAGGTTGTTTTGTTACCGAGCACCCCAACTGGCAGCAGGCGCTTCTGAGCCACCAACACCATGACGCAAATCGCGGCAGGTCTGCTCATCACATAGACACACGACTGCATCTTACATGCAGCTGGTCTACAATGACACCCAATAAATTTCTTTCTTTATGGGCCGCTGCAAACGGAACCATGGCTGTATTGCTGCCCGGATAATCTGGCCGCAGGCGCGACACATCACTTACACAAAAAGGGAGGATTGAATAGTAATATCAATTTTTGAAGTGAGGCCATGTGAAATACCTGGCAGCGTAGCATCCATCGGCGGGGTGACAGACCATGTCCTGTGCACAAAAACGTGTTGGTTCAATAACGTGATCGGCTAAGCCACGGCTACAACTGGGGCACTGGAGTCCGCCCGATCTGCCCACTTTCTATCCGAACTTCTTCTGAACTGGTACACTACCGGTAGTTTGACGTCCAATAATCTTCCTTAGATGGATGCTGAACAATTAAAAAAGCTTCTCCGAGAGGCGGAGAAGCGTGCCGAGCAAGCAGAGAAAGGACAACAGGAGGAGCGACAACGCGCCGAGGAAGCAGAACGCGGGCAGCATAGGGAGCGACAACGCGCCGAGGAACAGCGACAACGCGCCGATATAGCAGAGGAACAAACAAGACCGACGACATTGGACGAGTATATTGCGGCTTGTCATTCCTTTGTGTATTCTCGGTTTGCCATCGAAACAGACCCAGATCTCACCTCGAAAGGCTCCATCACCAACCCTCGAGACAAGTGGTGTCCTCAAAGTTTGCGGGCATGGTCCGACTTCCTCGAGATCCAGAGGATCGTTTTCGGCAGCATATACGACACCTTTCCTACCGAGGAACGCGTTTTCGAGAATCGAAACTTCCTCGCAGGCTTAGGCAGTAGGGTATCTCAGCGGCCGATACAAGACGAGAAGACTCTCGAATATTTTCTACATATCAGCGTTGAGGATCCTGTCCGGGTCATCATAGAACGACTCAAAATGGTGCAAGATGCGAGGGCGGCTTTTGCACTGGGAGATGGCGTCATCTTTGAGAATCACCCTCATGCGCTTAGCGAGGTCGCAGATGAAGTTGTTGATAGCGGGACGCCAGCAACAGCATCAGCACCACCCCGCACGCCTGACCACCGTCGAGATCTGAACAAGCTACGACCAGACCAGATATGTGTCTATCGATCCGACAACACCGCGCTCTCACAGCGGACGATGATATATATTTCTGAGTATAAGCCGCCTCACAAATTGACGGCTCCTCACCTTCGAGTTGGCTTGCGCGACATGGACATCTACAAGGAAGTGGTGAACCGAAAAACGATACCGACTGCCGCCGACCCCGACGCGCTTTTTCGGTATCACGCAGAGCGGCTGACAGCGTCGGCCATCACACAGACGTATCATTACATGATAGAGAGTGGTTTGGAGTATGGTCTGCTCACCACTGGTGAAGCGATCGTGTTCCTCAAGGTTGACTGGACCGATCCAGGGACGCTGTATTACCATCTAGCTGAACCTGCTCACGAGGTGATGCCTCACCTAAACCATTTCCACATCTGTACGGCTGTCGGGCAGTACTTGGCGTTCACTCTCTTGGCGCTCGGCGGCCCTGGAGAAAGACGGGGACATGGGCAAGACGAGCGTGACCGGGCTCGGACAGGCCTGAAGACGTGGAACGAAGACTTTGAAACGACGTTGCGTTCCATTCCAGCAAGCGCAAGATCAGCGCCAGACAGTTCATCCGACTACGCACCAACTACCTATGGAGGTGTCGATCGATCGCCGCTTGTACCCCGAAGAAAGACGCGTCAATACTATCGGGATCACCCTGACGAGCACTTAACGCGACATGAAGACAGGGAACCATCAGACGACGAGTCAATGCCCAGGCCGCCGGACACCCCCACGCCTCTTGGGCGAGGAGTGAGGCAGACCACGCGGCGAAGTGAGCGACTAGCGCATCGGACTCGTGGAGGGGACAGCCAGCAACAGCGGCAGTATTGCACTCAGAAATGCCTTCTTGGAATGGTCAATGGACGA